TGCTGCTGTCTGCTGTGTTGAGGAAGCGTTGGTACCGTCGCCATCATCATCATCGCCACCAAGCTTGAAGCTGATGATGTCGTTCCACAGGATGGTGCGGTTGGAGTACTTGTCGTGGCCAACAAACGCCAGCCCGTGTGGCTCAACCACGGCATAGCACAGCCACCGCTTGCGCTTGTGCTCCACCTCCACCAACGCCATCGCGCTTGCTTGCTTGCTTGCTTGCTTGCGGGTGTTTGAAGTGGTGGAAAGCGTGTGTGTTGTTGATTTTGCACAAGAAGAAGAAGAAGAGGAAGAAGCAGTTAACTTCTTCTCTCTTCTTGCTTGCTTCTTGCTTCTTGCTTGTTGTCTCATTGTTCTCGTTCACCCCCCCTCCCCACCAACTAGCACTCCCCACTGCACGTCTCCTGATCGCATTGGCGCACTGCCATGTCTTTGTCGGCGTCCGCGGCATCGTCGTCGACGTCTTCGTCGTCTTCAGTGCTTGTAGCCAGCATCCCGCGCCATCGACAAGTGGTCGTCGCAAAGAAACGGCCCACAGTAAGCGGGATTGTGGTGATGGTGATGTGGTGGTTGTGGTGTCATCATGGTTCATTGTTTCATAGAGGGCAGTGTCAGTCGTGCAGCCCTGACTGATCCGCTTCCCCCTGATGTATTGCTGGCAGGTGTTTGAAGTTGTGTTGGCAAACAAGGATCGAGAATGGCGCATCGAGCGACGCTACAGCGAGTTCCACATGCTGTACAAGAAGGTGTGCTTGCGTGTTTTGCGTTCATGTATGTGTGTGTGTGTGTGGTTGTGGTGTTTGTGTGTGGTTGTGGTTGCTCTTGTGTGGTTGTAGTGGTTGTGGTTGCTCTTGTGTGGTTGTAGTGTTTGTGTGTGGTTGTGGTTGTGGTTGTGGTAGTTGGTGTGGTGATCGCCGGGGCTGTTGTGCGAGCCATGTTATGTTGTATCCACTGCTGTCATGAGTTCAGGCCACTCGACACACACACACACACACACACACACACACACACACACACACACACACACACACACACACACACACACACACACACACACACACACACACGTGTCTCACTTCTCCTCCCTTTCCTCTGTGCTCGCTGCAGTTGAAAGATCATATCAGGGTGCCCTTTCACTTTCCAAGGAAGACTGTCATGAGCAACAAGGTATGCGAGCAACTAGCTGCTGCCGTGCTTGTCGACACGTGTTTTGTAACTGCTTGGCCCTCTGTTGCAGAGTAGTTGGCTCAACATCTTCCTCCCCCTGTGCGGCATTTGGCCCTTCACACGTTGCTTGTGTGCATTGCCAGGATCCCAAGTTCATTGAATCTCGACAGAAGAAGCTTGAGGCCTGGCTCCAGGTTTGTGTACGCTTACTGTCACTGGTTTGTCGAACACGTGCAACAGACTGCGTGTACAGGGGATGCAGTGGAAGTACAATTCATACAATGGACACACACACACACACACACACACACACACACACGCTCACACACACATACGCTCACACACACACACACATATACACGTGCACACACACGCACACACATACATACGCACACGTGCACAAACGCACACAGACACACACGCACACGTGCACACACATCTCGCACGCAGACTCACATACCCTCCTCCGCCCATCTTGTGACGTGCAGGCGCTGCTGCAGCAGCCCAACATTCTCTCGTTTGCAGCCGTTGCGGAGTTTCTTGAAGTGCCGAGCGACGTCCTTCGTCGGTGGGCTGCCCTCCCTATCACAGCAACACCATTGTCACACCCTCTCCACTCTGCCCTGCTCTGCTGTCTTTTCATCTGCGTCGTGTAACTGGCGATTACGATCGTGTCGACGTGTTTCCTCCAACACCATTTCACACGCAAGCAAGCAACCTTACCCATGCCACATGTATACGCGCTCACATCACAAACACACATACACGCGCGCACGCGTGCTCACATACACACACATGTGCATATGTGCGTTGTTGACCTGCAGGCGCACCTCTGGGCGCCTTGCGTCGTTCAAGTCGTCGTCCTCGTCCATGCACGTGTCAAACCGCGGCGCCTTCTCCCCAGACGCTCGAAGCACTGGCGGTGCCGGCGGGGCATACAGCTCAACACACTGTACGTGCACCCCATATGTCTTGAGAAGGTGTGTGCGTGTGTGTATGTGCGTGCGTGTGCGTGTGCGTGTGTGTATGTGCGTATGTTGCTCACTTTGCGTTGCCCTCCATGATCATGTGCCAGCGAGCAAGTCTGTAACGCCTCTGCGCCGCAGCCGTCGCAACTCGGCGTCGTCACACGAGTGCGTTGCACACTGTTCTTGTCGTGTGTCGTGCAATTGCACAATCGCCAAAGTCGTCTGCAGCATGAAACGTGCTGAACCCTGTGTGCCTTGTGAGTGCATGACTACACGCGTGCATGCAGTCTCTCTCAATACCATGTGACATCACTCACATTTTCACACGCACACACACATGCACACATACACACGCACACGCACACACACTGCAGCATTGTACAACAAGGGGTGCTTGCATCGGTGTCGGGCATGGCTGCGTGGGGCGACGATCACGATGTGGACGATTTCGTGCGTCTGTATTACGGCGACGACGCGGATCCCATGGAGGATGCCTCCGCAACCAGCATGCTCGATGTGCGTGACTGTCCTCACATTACGTGCCGCTGCCCTGCTTGCTGTGGCTGTGTGTGTGTGTGTGTGTGTATAACTCGTGTGCATGGTGGACAAGTAGTGCTTCTGTGGTTGTGCTGGTGCGACGGTACGTCCCTCCTGGCCCCATTCTTTCTCCGCGTCCCATCCGTCTACTACCACCTCACCATCATTGCCAAATGACGACACTGCGACCAGCACCTGCGCATTGATCCCTCCACTCGGCGCCGCACGCGCCGTCCAACGTCTCAGTCGCCCGTCTCATTCCAAGGTGCCTGTTGCCTTTCGGGAATATTGGTGGATTGTGGCTGTGTATGTGCGTGTGTGTCTTGCCTGTGTCCTTTGTTGAGTCACGAACACACTCGCAATTCATCCTCGGATGCACTGCCATGGCCACCTTCATGCCCGCATCTCTGTCATCACCATCCCCTCCGTGTTTTTCGTGTTCCCCGCGGCCTCCATGTGCAGCTGTTGCGGCGTTCAAGGGCGAACGGACGGACGGCAGCGACGAACCATTCACCTTTGCAGCCGTGAGTGAGCATGTACATGCTGTCATTGTCGTCCGTCGTCGTGCGTATGTGTGTGCGTATGTGTGTGCGTATGTGTGTATGTGTGTGTGTGTGTTGGGGGGGGCAGTGGCCATTGAGCCATGGCTGATGCCTCGTACTATGATCGTGTTTGCGGGCTGCTCTTTGCTACCAGGGCGACATCATCACGGTGACGGCCGAAGACACGAGCACAGGTGCGTGGCCAGCTTTTTTGGTTTGTGCCTCTGTTTCGTTTCGTTCAATGGGCGAGTTCCTTTTCGACACACACACACACACACACACACACACACACACACACACACACACACACACACACACACACACACACACACACACACACACACACACACACACACACACACACACGTACACACACACACACACACACACACACACGTACACACACACACACACACAAACACACACACACACACACACACACACACGCACAATCTCTCTCACACTCAACACTGAAACCCCCCTTTCCCCCTCCTCCTTCGCTCCGTAACCCTCGGTGCAGGGTGGTGGGTTGGCCGAGTTGGGGACGGCCCCGGTGGGCTGATTCCGCCCAACTATGTTGACCCGGGCACGGTGCGCACGGCGTCGTCGTCTGCGGATTTCCCGCGGGCGGTGGCGGCGGCGCGGCGAAGCGTGGCTGCACGCAGCGCAGGCAAACGCGACGCCACAGGCAGTGGCAATCGTGATGGTGATGGGACGATGGCAGAAGGAGGAGGAGGTGGTGGTGGTGGTGATGGTGGTGGTGCGAGGCGAGGTGTGAAGGCGCCCGGTGAGAGTGGTAGTCGGAGTCGGGATGGAGGGCGGAGGGAGGTGTCGAGTGTGAGCAGCGAGCCGCCGGGGAAGGCTGGGTCGTTTATTGGGCGGCATCACGCAGACAGCACGCGGAGCGTTGGCGACGTGTTCCTGCGTGTGGGCGGTGCCCGAGGGCGTTCGCGGATGGCGAGCGAGCAGACGGAGGACTGCCGGCGCCACAGCAGCGGAACAGCGGCGACCACGACAACCACCACTACGTCGGCGTCGGCGTCGGTGTCCATGTCGTCCACGTCCTCATCAGCAGCGATGCTAGGCGCTACCACCAGCACCAGCACCAGCACCAGCACTAGTGGCGGTGGCGGCCGTGGCGGCAGCTTGGACGGCGCGCACCGAAGCGTGTCTCCATCGCTGCTGCAGGAGTTGCGGCGGCGCCACCAGCAGCCAACGACAGCGCCCGAGGCGGAGCAGCAAGATGACGGCTTGGAAGGTGGTAGCATGGAAGGTGATGTTGGTGTGGTGGGAGATGCAAGCAGTGACGGCCACGAGGGAGCGAAAACCGACACTGGACATGAGGCTGCTGCAGACATGCTTGCATCACCAGCAGCGCTGCACCTGTCGTCATCGCCGTCATTGTCATCGCCGCCTGGGTCGCTCGGGTCGGTGCACTCCTCGCGGCCAACGGCTGCTGCTGTCCACTCGCCGCTGCGGTTTGGCCAGACGACGGCTGCACCCGGCAATGGCGATGATGATGAGGACTGTGGCGGTGTTGGTGGGGGTGTTGTTGGTGGGAGTGCTGAGGATGGGGAGGTGGAGGAGGAGGAGGAGGGAGAGGAGGAGGAGGGAGACTGTGTTGATGAAGGTGCAGAGGAACAAGCGGAAGGGCGTGTTCATGGCAGTGGTGGCGGCGGCGATGAGGACGATGAAACAGTGCAAGGCGGCGTATGCATGAGCGATGGCGAGCAAGTGGATGAGGACATTCATGGTGGTGCTGATGCCGATGAAGATGGAGATGGCGATTATCAGGAAAGAGCGCCATCGTCAACAGCATAGTGTGTGGTGTGTGTTGAGTGTGTGAACGTGTGAACGTGCATTGCGGTGACGTTGCTTGTTGATGCTTCGCGCCCTGCTGCATTTGCGGTGGACTTTTGAGTTCTGTGAGCAAGTGCAGTCTTTTATTCATGCGCTGCGGATCGCTTTGTTGCTGCGCAGTAGTGCGATTGCGTTTGTTGGCTGGTCCCAATCCACGCAGCAGCACCAGCAGCGACACAAGCAGCGACACGAGCACAGCAGGCAACTAGGACGGTTTGTGTGCACATAATAGAAACGGAATAAAACCAAAGCGAAATGGCCAACAATCAACCACAGCATCACAACCACGTGAATCACCAAATCAACCACACACGCACACACACACGCACACACACACACACACACACACACACACACAACACACACACACACACACACACACACACACACACACAAAAACACACACACAAACACACACACACACTTACAGCAAGGAACACGCCAGCACAGCCAAGAACCCAATTTCACTTTTCCAACACCAAACGAACAACAACAATCAAACAACGCACTGCAGGCGCATATGTACAACTGCAGTCAACAGCGCCTGAGAGGGGGGGGGGGGCAAAGGGGAGAGAAGGCCAACATGGAACATGACTCATACAACGGAGCTCTTAACGTCGCAAAAGAAGTAACAAACAGCAGCAAACGCAAACGCAGGTCAGGTGGGTCCCATTGCGGGTGTTGCGGTTGTTGGGTTGGTTACTACAGCAGCTGCTGGTGCGGGAAGATGGCATGATCGTGGTCGTACTTGAGCTCAAGCGCCTGGTACCTGCGAAGCGGGAGAGGGGGGGGGGGTGGAGATGATTGGTGAGGGAGGGGGGAGGGAGAGGGGGGGGGACACGAAGGAGAGGGTGAGTTTGACTGCAAAAATGCACACACACACAGACACACACACACAGACACACACACACAGACACACACACACAGACACACACACACGCACGCACGCACGCACGCAGCGGCAGCGGACCTCTCTGAGCGCCTGAAGAAGTAGTAGCCCGTGATGGCGCCCTTGAGGCGATCAAAGGAGATGTAGTAGAAGCCCGCATACGACGCGCCAGGCACCTCCTGCGCCTCCCAATACGGAACCACAAACTTCTCCTGTGGGGTGGGGACGGGGAGGAAGGACAGCAAGGCAGGACAGAGGGAGAGGGAGAGAGGGAGAGAGGGAGAGAGGGACAGGGGTGAGCTCGTGACAAGACGAAAACGATGCAAGATCAAGGCGCAGGCGAAAAGAACGTGCACGTGCTCCCCCAACCAAACACACACACACACAACGCAGCACACCTTCCAGCGCATGAAGATGAATCGGTTTGTGCGAAAGTCGTAAGCATCCTCATCTCGGAGGTACGCCATGTTAAATCCAGGCAGCCGTTTCTGTTTGACAAGCAACCCATCCGCGCATCGAAGCGTGAGGTGTTGGTCTGTACTTGCATCATGCTTCATCGCATACAGTGGCACATGCACACACACACACACACACATATACACACACACACAAGAACCCACACACACGCGCACACACACACACACACACACACAAGAACACACACACACACACACGCACACACTCGTCATTGCTGTACCCAGTGTGCAATGTCCACGTCCATATCTGCTCCCCAGCGACGCGTGAGAAAGTCGTCAGCGGTCTGCACGAGTTCGGCGTCAAAGAAGGTGGTCACGTCCTGGCAGTTTCGCGCCAGCTCCTTGATGGTCAACTCCCCACACACGCGGCCCTGGCTGAAGTCCACATGCTGTGCAACAGTGAAACAACGAGTGCGAAGTGACAAGCATAACGATACACGTCACACTTGGTGAGGGTGACTGCAGAGTTGCAAGGTTCCAAGCACCAAAGGCCACGATGTGCACACACTCACAAACAAGCACACACACGCACACGTGCACAAACACACACACTCTCTCACAAACAAGTACACACGTACACACACACGCACACACACACACACACACGCACGCATTCACACACACGCGCGCGCGCGTAGAGGCAACCAACTCACATAAAAGTTGACGGATACGCCGTAGGCTGAGCGCTGGCTGCACTGGCGTCCGACGTACTTGCACATGGGATGGAGAAACGCAGTGTCGACCTCGAGCGGCGCGTGCTGCTTGCCGCTTCGTCGCTTCGGCCTGAGCTGTCCTTGTGCCGGCATGACCAGTTGGTGCTTCGTTGTTGTTGTTGTTGTTGTTGTTGTTGTTGTTGTTGTTGTTGTTGTTGTTGTTGTTGTTGTTGTCGTTGTTGTTGTTGTTGTTGTTGTTGTTGTTGTTGTTGTTGTTGTTGTTGTTGTTGTTGTTGTTGTTGTTGTTGTTGTTGTTGTTGTTGCTGTCCTGTGGTCGTTGACCCTTTGTTGTTCTTGGTGCTGTTCGCGTCACCGCCAAACTGCGTGGTTGAGATGAGTGCGCGTTGCTCGACTTGAAGATGTCTCCCTCCCTCTCTCTCTCTCTGTCTCAGCTCACCGCACACCGCACACAACACGCCTGATGCGGAACCCTCGAAGACGCCACACCAATCGGAAATGGCCGCTGAGTTGTGGCGTGGTCCGTTTTCGTTCCTGGGTTGGTTGCTGTGTCGCTGTCTCCTCTGTATTGTGTCGAAGGACCAAAACAGGTGTTTGACTGGCTCGTTTGGCTGTTGACACGAAAAAGACTGCCAAAGGGATTGATTGCTCTTGACACTTCCACGCCACAAACCACAGAGCCAGAGGACGTGAAGTGAAGCAGCCGTGCGTGGATGGACGCGCGGATGGATGCGTGGATGGATGCGTGGATGGATGGAAGCAACGCCACGACACAGCTTCGACGCACAGACACACCGAACACGAACTGCTGTCTGGCTGTGGTCGTCGTTGTTGTTTGTGTTTGGCTTTGGTGCGCCGCGATCGAGCTGGATTTGCAAACAGTCAAATCAAAATGAATAAAATCACTCAAATGGTACGACCCGCGTCAATGCAACATCCACGCCTTCTTGTGCCTTGCTCTGAAATGAAGAAAACCTATATTTGGGAACATTGGCGGTTACACACCTACTATTCGTTTCTCCTGTCTCGCCCGCAGCACAACCCCCGCGCACTGCCCTTTTCACGTGTGCGACAACACCAGCGATTTCAGCCACAAGCTAAGACAAGCAACACCACCACACCAGCACAACCGGCCATGTCTCGCTTCTACACCGCATCGACGAGTGAGGAGAGCTCGTCCGAGGAAGAGGAGGAAGTCCCAGAGGTGACCACCCGCTCAGCAAAGTACGTGTGTGTGTGAGAGGATGTGTGCGTGTGTTCGTGTGTGTGTGTGTGTGTGGATGTGTGTGTGTGTGTGTGTGTGTTTGTGTGTGTGTGTGTGTGTGTGTGTGTGTGTGTGTGTGTGTGTGTGTGTGTGAGGACGTATGTGTGAGGATGTGCGTGTGCGTGCCCCCCCCCCGGATGGCTTAATGGACTGATACTTGTGACTTGCTGTTGGATCCTTGCTTTCTTGGTTCACAGGCAGTTCACGCGTGTGGACTCAAGCGACGAGGACGAGCAGCGTGTTGTGAAGAGCAAGGCGCAGAAATTGTGCGTACTGACTTGCATGTGCTCGATGGCGACACAAGAACATCCCAACCTTGTAACACTCACTGACTGGCTGCCCACAAACAACAACAACAACAACAACAACAACAACAACAAAAAACACACTCACAATATCATCCGCATGACATGCACCATGCAGCCGTGATGATGCTGCCGTGCAGGCCTCAAGGATCCGCAACGGAATGAAGGTCGCAGACTGGTCTTCTGTGGAGGACTCCTTCTCAAACATGTGCAAGCTCCTGGAGAAGAGCAAGAAGCAGATTGCCGAGGTCGGCGTGCCCATCAGCTGTCTCAAGATCTTTGTCGAGCTCCAAGACGAGGTCAAGGAGGCCTACCGCAGCCGCAAGAAGCTCAACAAGCAGCAGGGCACCTCCCTCAACAGGATCCACGTATGTACCCGTTGGAGTGTGTGTGTGTGTCTGTGTGTGAGGGAGTGTCTGTGTTTGTGCATGGTGCGTTCGCGTGCCGTGAGGCTGTTGTTTGTGCGCCTCCCAGTGGCATCCGTGTTTCGTTGATACACTCACACCCACGTTTGCACACTTCTCCTCCCCCCTTCCAGTCCAAGCTCCCCAAGTTCCTCAAGACTGTCTTCAACCGCAAGCCGCTTGGTATGTGCATGACACGTGTGGTTACGTGGTTGCGTGTGAGTGCTCATTTTCGAAGTGCGTTCTTGCTCATGGACACGCATGTCGACGTCAGGCAAACTTGCGTTATTGCTCTATTCGTCCCCCCTGCACCTCTTCATGCCACACTCCCACTCACACATGTATACATGCACGTGTACGTGCACACACACACACACATCACGCCTGACCTTTCTTTGTCGCAGAGACGAGCGTGAACGAGTACCGCGAGAATCCCGTGGAGGAGGAGGAGTCTGAGCAGGAGGAGAGCGAGGATGAGGAGAGCGAGGAGGAAGAGGAGGATGACGAGAAGAAGAGCGCGTCAAAGGCCCCGGAGGAGAGCGAGGACAGCGATGACAGCTACTGGGACACCGACACCAGCGACGAAAGCGACGATGAGGAGGCTGGCGAGCGCAACGAGCAGCGCGGTTTCCGCGGCTGGGTTGCCACCGACTTCCTCAAGTCAACCACGCAGGCGAAGAAGAAGCAGCGCGAGGGCAAGGAGGGCAGCAAGCCCAAGCCGCAGGCCGCCAAGGAGGGTGAAGGCGAGGAGGGTGACGAGGGCGAGGAGAAGGAAGTCACCATGGTTGTTCAGGGCAAGACCAAGGAGGAGAAGCCCCTCTTTGAGAAGGGCGAGGAAATCACCTACGACAAAGTCATGAACAAGTTCAAGGAGGTGTGTACTGTGTGCGTGTGTGTGTGTGGCTGCACGCCCGAAGCTGTTGCCATGTCACGCTTTTTGTTTTCCTGCTTGCACTCCCCTTGCGATCATGTCGTGAAGCACGTTTAACATGTTGTACCCAGCGCTTGGGATTTTGCTCTTCGGGACTTGTGGCCTCCATCGGCATCACCCTGTAGCTCACCTTGCCACTGATCCCGTGTACCTTTATTTGTATTCGTGTAGCTGACAAGCGCTCGCAACAAGAGGCGCGAGAAGGGTGCCCATCGCCGTGCACTCCGCCGCCTCCGCAACGTTAGTTCTGAGAATGCTTGACGTGTGCCCCTGCGCCCTCTTTTCCTTTCTCCGACGTCTTGCCTGCTATTGCGCTTGTTCTGCTGAAACCCACTCGGTTGGGCGCCAACCTCATTCTAGCCACATCTTACCCGATGGATTTGTACGGATGCCAGATTTCTGATGATCACGGCTTTGGCGCATTCCCCGCGTGCAACATCCTGGTTGCCCTCATCACATCCTACTTTGATGAGGACATCTCCGCCACCGGCTACATGGACATTATGAAATGGGCCCTGTAAGTGCATCCTCTCATGTGCATGTGTGTATACACTTGCGTGTGTGTGTGTGTGTGTTTGACCGCTTTCGGGCGCAAGACGGTCGCTTGTGGCATCGTGTGTTTGCTGGTGTGACATGCTCGCCGAAGCTCATGTTGCTCTCCTTGTCGTTGTGTCATGCAGGGTGCACAACTTGCTTGTTGAGCTCATTGGTCTGCTGCTGAAGAACAAGGACATTGTCGTGTCAAACAGCACCACAGGTATCGTGCGCTTGTGCGTTTGTGTGTGAGAGTGAGAGAGTGTGTGTGTGCGTGCGTGCGTGAGTACCATCCGACAATTTGTGAATTTTATGCGTTTGTCAGCTCTTGCACCTTGCTGACACATGTATGTGCAAACATGTGTTTGATGTGGCATGTCGCAGGCAACAGCAAATCGAACAAGTCGATCAACGTGGATGTTGTGCGTCTGGTTGAGCGCCTCGATGATGAGCTCACGCGCTCCCTTCGCAACATCGATCAGAACTCCCCAGACTACATTGCAAGGTGTGCGCGTGCGTGTGTGAGTGTGTTTGTTGCATCCATTGTAATTGTTGCATGTGCAGCTGCGCGTCCTCTTTCCGTTTCGCTGACGCTTTTGCAATGGCCCTCGTCTGTGCCACTCACTCTGCTGTGCAAACGTTACCCTTGATTGTGTCGTATTTGTGCGCCTGCAGATTGTCGGATGAGGTTGTGTTGTACAACCTGATTGTGCTGACCCAGCAGTACAGCCGGACCCTGACTGCCGACTCCCAGTGCCGTGTGCGCCTGCTTCGTCTGGAGCGCATCTACTACAAGCGCACCTTCCTTGCGCCAACACCTCGTGGCCCCACCCGCATGCTGCCCAGCAAGGTGGAGCACATCATGGAGAAGTATGACAGGCAGCCCAAGCCGGAGGACATCCACTTCCCCGTGGTAGGTCATTGTGTGTGCGTGTGTGTGTGTGTGTGTGTGTGTGTGTGTGTGAAGGGCGAGGAGTAATTTTGTGTTGTGTGTGTGTGTGTGTGGAGGTTGTGTAATTGTGTGCGTTTGTGTAGCTCTCGGATGCCCGCTTAACCGTTCAACCTCACGCCAGACTCACATGCAACCACACACGCACACACACGCACAAACACATTCGCAGCCGTCCCCATGGGTTGTTGACAACAAAGTCGAGGCTGACATTGAGGGCCTTGTGGACCGCCTGTGCAAGTTTGTGTACAAGCACTGCAAGGGCCGCATGGCCGTGCGCACCGCGTTGTGCCACGTGTTCCACTTGGCGCTCTTTGACAGGTGTGTGTGTGTGTGTGTGTGTGTGACATGAGATGTGCGCGTATGTGCATTCAAACTTGCTGGCGAACTCACCCTCGCATTGTTGCAAGTGCACTCTTTCCGCGGGCGTGCCATGCCGTGTGAACCAAATGTCTTTCTCGCGCGTCACGTGATGGTTTTGCAGAACGTATCGACTCACGGCTCTATGTCTTGCCATTCGCGTTGTTGTCGTTGTGTGTGTGTGTGTGTGTGTGTGTGTGTGTGTGTGTCTTTGACTTTGTTTCGTTTTGTGGTTGAGTCAGGTGGACGGAGGCTCGCGACCTCATGCTCATGTCCCGCCTGCAAGACACCATCTCTCAGGCAGACATTCCCACTCAGGTACTGCAATGCTCTGCAAAGGCGTTAGCATCAGCTTGGCCATCGCCCCCCAAGTTAGCTGTCGTCCCACTTCACTTGCACGAGCTTACACCCACACTCTTCTCACGCACACCATTTCCTCTGACTCACCACACCATCCTTGTTAACCTTTTGTTTCTCATACCCAACGTGTGCTGTTCTGTGTGGCTGGCAGATTCTGTTCAACCGGGCCATGGTACAGCTTGGTCTGTGTGCGTTCCGCGCCGGCAACGTCATCCAGGCACAGGCCGCCCTCAACGAGATTGTGCAGATGGGCAGGTGAGCGTGCGCTCTGTGTGTTTGACTGTACTGGTGTGTGTGTGTGTTGTGTTGTGTTGTGTTGTGTTGTGTTGTGTTGTGTGGGCGTGGGCGTGGGCGTGGGCGTGGGCGTGGGCGTGGGTGTGGACGTGAGACTTCGCATCCATGGCGTTCTTTGTTTCGTTTATCTCGAGTTCTCACGTGCGTCGCCGCCACATCCGAAATCTGTTACGTGCAAAAAGGGCCAAGGAGCTGTTGGCACAGGGGTACAAGTTCAGGCACGACAAGAGCCAGAGCCAAATCTCCAAGGAGAAGATGCGCCAGACACCGTTCCACATGCACATCAACGTCGGCCTTCTCGAGGCCGTCTACTACACAGCATCCATGCTCATCGAGATCCCAGCAATCGCACAGGTGCGTATCTCTGTGTGCGTGTGCGTGTGCATGTGCTGGCGAGTGTGCCCGTGCAGTGTGTTCTCTTTGCAAGGAATATGCTGATGGTGTTCAAGTGTGGCGTCTCTTGCCCCTCTCCCAAACAGTCCATTGCATTTGTTTGTCTCATGCTCGTTCCATTGACTGTGTTCTCTGCCTAACATGTTCTTCTTTTGACAGTACGGCACTGGCCGCTCGCGGTACATGAACCGCAACTTCCGTCACCGCCTGGAGGAGTTTTGCCGCGAGTCGTACCACGCGCCGCCAGAGACCACCCGCGAGAAGATCATGTCTGCGTCGCTCGCCATGCTGCAGGGCGACTGGGTGCGCTGCCGCGAGTTCATCTGTGACCTCGGCGTTTGGGACCTCATGCCCAACAAGCCGGCCGTGCTGACCATGCTCGCCGAGAAGATCCAGCACGAGGGCTTGCGCACCTTCCTCCTCGCAAACTCGGGATACTTTGACAGCATCACCCTCGACAAGCTTGCGTGAGTCATGTGGATGGGTGTGTGTGTGATAGAGGGAGCGCGAGACTGCGTTGGCGTGTGGGATTGTGACAGCTTGTGTGAAGGCTTGTTTGCATGTGTGCTTGTGGTGTTGGTTGGTTTGAGATGCGCTCACGTTTGCGGCGTGTTGCCTTGCTTCTTGAACCCTTCAGAGAGCGGTTTGAGCTGGACATGAAAGAGGTGCGCGGCATTGTGAGCAAGATGATCTTCCGTCGCGAGCTGTACGCCTTCTACGATCCCATGACCGCAGCCGTTGTCATGTACCGCCAGCAGCCATCCAGCCTGCAGGTTGCTGCCAAGAAGCTCGCAGACAAGGTGCGTGTGTGTGCGTGTGTGTGTGTTTCATTGCGGAATCCACCTTTTTGTGTGTGTGTGTGTGTGTGTGTGTGTGTGTGTGTGTGTGTGTGTGTGTGTGTGTGTGCGTGTGCATGTATGCAACCGTTTATTGTCTCATGTTCTTCCCTGGTTTGTCCATTAGTTGGTTTTGTTCCCTCACTCGTTGACCAATTCTTTTTCTTTGTTGCCGTTTTCACGCGCGTGCAGGTTGGCCAGCTGCTTGATGCCAACGACCGGCTGTATGCTGCCCGCTTCTACTCTGGTCCGCGCGAGGGCGGCCAGCAACAGGACAACCGCCGCCGCCCCTACAACCGCTATTCGCACGGGCAGCGCGGCAACCAGCGCTACCGCGGTGGCGGCCAGGGTCGCCAGTGGAACAACCGACCGCCACACACGGGCGCGCGCCTGAGGCGAACCGGCCCGCAATAGGCATGTGCTGCGTTTGCCTCGTTTCCTGCACGCCTCGCACTGTCTTGGTGTGATGGCCGTTTGTTTGTTGGCGTCATCATGGTGTTGATTTGCTTGGCGCGCTCCGTTTTGTTCCGTGGATCATGCAGTTAGGAACGACATGTGTGCGTGTTGTGTTGTGTTGTGTTGTGTTGTGTTGTGTTGTGTTGTGTATTTGAGCTACGTCCCGCTCGCTTTGTCTCTCCGTCAACTCGTCACCATAAAAGAGAACAGTTGACATCCGCGGTGCTGGTCATATGGGCATGTGTGTGTACGTGAGCACAGCGGGGGGGGGGGAGCAAGAAGCAGGGACAGAGGTAAAAGTTTAGGGGCAGGACAAGGATTGAAATGATAAGGCACGAAAGTACAATCGCATCACATCACATCACATCACGGGGAAGCGAGCCCGAGAACTGGGGAAACTAAAGCAGCACTCAAGCCTGGTCGTCGTCATCTGCCGCATCATCGTCATCGTTGCCTTGCGCGGCGTCATCATCGTCGATGCTGTCGCCGTTGCTGTCGGGAAAGTAGCGCTGCACGGGCTGGTCATTTAAGGACATGGACCGTTTCAAGGAAGCCGGCACCTCGATGCCATACTGCACCAAGCGTGTCACAAAGATTTCCTTGGCAACCTGCATGTAGGTGAGTGTGTGAGTGTGTGAGTGTGTGTGAGTGTGTGTGTGTGTGTGTGTGTGTGTGTGTGTGTGTGTGTGTGTGTGTGTGTGTGTGTGTGTGTGTGTGTGTGTGTGTGTGTGCGTGAGCGTGTGTGCGTGGGCGAGTGTATAAATGTCAAACAGCAGCACACACTGAGAGAAAGGAGTACGCACGCGTGAATCAATCAATTTTTTCTCGGCCATCTTTGGATCATGTGTTGACGCACCTTGAAGATCTCCCAATCAGCTGGGTCGTCCGCAGCGCTGATGTGCTCCAAGCCAGGGTGGTTCATGCTGTGTAAAAGGAAGTCAACAGTGGGGGGGGGGGAGTTGTGAACATGCGACGCTTGAGGCGAAGCCACGCAGAGCAACAAGCACAACACCACAACAATGGCGCTGTGTGTGTGTGTGTGCGTGCGTGCGTGCGTGTGTGTGCGTGCGTGCGTGCGTGTGTGTGTGTGTGTATGTGTGTGTGTGTGTGTGTGTGTGTGTGTGTGTGTGTGTGTGTGTGTGTGTGTGTGTGTGTGTGGTGTGCACCACACGCACACCCCTCAAGACCTCATGCACAGTTCATGCACAACACGTGAACGCACGTGGCGTGAATGTCCTCGGCAGTGTTGGAGACGCCCGGACGCGTGTTGGTAAACTCATGCTCGGTGATGTTGCCCCCAAACATGGCGTGGAACAGGCATATGCTTTCTCGCCAGTAGTCTGTGAGACCGACAAACGAAATCTTCTCACTGCGGAGTAATCTGATGGCTGTCTCCAACTCCTGCGCGTGATTTGGCAAGGAAAGGGAGAGGATGGATGAAGAGTGGACGTGAGCGAGGGCTGAAATGGGTGGTTGGAAAGCACAAGGGCACACGAGAACGGACAAAGGCGCACAAAGGCACACAAAGGCACACGAGTGCACGAGCGCGCAAATCGGACAATGGAGTTTGTCTGCTTGCAAGCAAGGTGGGCGCGCGATGCTCGGGCTTGTCATGTGTCATTCGCGGACCTGCTTGGTCGTGTTGTAGAACCAAAACTCGGGGTCCTTTGGGCGATTGCATGGCTTGCACAGCAACATCTTCGTCTGTGTGCATGTATGCGTGTACGCATGTGATGGTTTTGAGCATGTGTGTCGGGTTGCGAGAAATGGTAACTTGGACATGTGCCTGTTATATGCGCAAGCAGAGCAGGAGTGGTTTCAACGCCCAGCAAGCAAGCAAGCATGCATGGAGACATCGTGCTCCGGAAGAGCTCCGCCACTTTGACAACCACCTGAACCACTTCAACTACGTTTGAGACCACCTAAACCACTTGAACCACAAGTCCGGCCAACGGTGACAACTGCACAGGAGAGATGGATGACTCACCTGGCAGCCTCGGTACATGCTGACATATGTGGAAATGTTCCGAGGGTGGCGGCTTGTGCCAATGTGCCCATGGACACGGTACTCTGCACAAGCAGCAGCGCGGGCAAGGCAAATGTGTGCGGGGTGAGCGAAATGGTTGAAAAGGTCGCAGCGACGAAGCCGTGCACACGTGAGAAGTCAACATGAAGAAGCCATGAACGGCATTCCTTGACCTCAAACCTAGTGTGAAGACAGGCAATGCTTGCCAATGAGGGTCTTACGCACCACTGTAATCCCGGATGCGCGGGTCCCGGAACATGCCGACAATGCCGCCCTGCTTGATTTCTGTTTCCTGATCGGTGTGGAAACACGGCACAATATGCGAGGCACACATCAGCCCGGGAGGCGGTGTTGTCACACGCGTATAAAGCTGCATGCAGGCAAGCAAGCAGGCGCGACATTCAGGCTACATGATGCGGCGGCGCCACCATGCAAGCAGAACACAACAGCATGAGGACACGGCTGGCTCACACACGCACGGCACCTTGAGCGTCTTGTGTCCCCACATCTTCCTGAGATGCACGTCGCCGGGGCAGTACTCCTTTGTTTTGTAGCGCTCAAGGAAGAACCGCATGAGCTCCGAGGGACTCGCACCAGAGCTGCTGTTTTGCGCTTCTTCCAGCGTGAATCTGGCACGCAATTGCGACAACATTAGGTGTGTTGTTGTACATGTGCAGTGTGATGAGCGTGATTGTGTGGCGGTGTACAGGTGTACAACAGGGGCGAGACAGGGAGGTGCTGGGCTCACAGAAGCTGCAGGTCATGTCCAGCGAGCCCAAGATCGTGCACTCACTTGTGTGGGTAGATGCTGCCTGGCAGAAGGGGACAGGCGTAATGGATGAGGCATGTTCCAAAGCTTGTTCCAGTCTTTGGGGCGTGCAACCATCTGCGCAAGTAATCAAGCAAGCAAACAAACAAGCAAGCAAACAAGGGCACAAGGTTACTCATGCAAACGTGTGTGTGTGTGTGTGTGTGTGTGTGTGTGTGTGTACTTGTGTAGGGGGAGCTTGCATGCATGTGTGAGTGCGTGTTGGTGAAGTCTGGGTTGACTGCATGTTATGTGGTGTGCGAGTGAAAGTTGTTTCTGAGTGCATGAGCGCACCGAATATGTTTCAGCAACTGTGGCGGAGGTCGAGTATGGCCGGGAACAAGGGGACACTGATCGGTTGATTGGTGGGAGTGTTGAGGCAGCGGAGGGTAAGGGGAAAGCGTGCGATGCAAAAGCAGAAATGCAATAAAGGCAGCAGAGAAGGTGAGACCAACCAAGTAGTGAGTGAGTGTGTGAGTGAGTGTGTGAGTGTGTGTGTGTGTGTGTGAGTGTGTGTGTGTGTGAGTGTGTGTGTGAGTGTGTGAGTGTGTGTGTGTGTGTGTGTGTGTGTGTGTGTGTGTGTGTGTGTGTGTGTGTGTGTGTCGTTGTGTTGCAACATTCTGTCAATTTGAGGAATGGCTGTCTTTCAGGCTGTCGTGCAAGGTGTGTTGTGCGTGCATGCAGGCATGCATCAGAGCATCTGTGCACGACATATGCTCCACCCGACTTCATCCACGCCGCCTCCACGCTGCCACTCGCTCCCTCCACCACTTCCTCCACACACCAGTTTTTCCAAGTTGTGTGGCGTGAGATCTCTCTGAAAGTCGTAAGTGCGCTTGCCACCCGCAGCCACCAGCTGGGCCGGCATGATGCTGCTCGCTGCAACAACAACCATGACCATGGCAAGGGCGACAGGCATCATGGTCGGTTGGCGTTCAACAATGTTGGTTGGCGACATCATAAACTGCGGTCAAACATCATCACGCAACGCGACTGGATTGCGTGTGTGCGGTCCAGCAAACTCGTTGAAAATTCCCTGCATTTTTCTGCAGCAAATTTGGTCTTGCTTGAGGCTCGTGCGTCGCGAAACATGTGCGACAAGATGCAAGCAGGCACAACAACGGACACAATGACAGCAGACAACAACAAGGGAACGATGCGACACGCACACATCTGGCTGAAACGCGTTGAGGTCTTGCTTGAGCGCAACCAAGCGAGAACTCTCTCATATGCAAGAAGATCCACCACGATCACGACGATCACTTGCTTACATGAGTGCGTGGTGCGTTGATGTCTTCTTGATGTGGTGGTGGCCTCTGTTCTTTCCTTCTGCTGGGTGCGGTTGGAATGCTCGAGGTGTGATTGGAGCTTCGCTCGCTCATTTCCACATTCCCCATTCCCGGTGAGACCCTCGCAGCCTTTACACTTGCATGAGCCAGAGAGCCAGGGACTCACTGTGTTTCTGCTGTCAAGCGCGCACTTGTGTGGACTTGACAGTCCAGTCCTTGCGAAGCATCTTTCTGTTCCTCTCTCGTGCTTGGCTCTTGAAGGATCAAAGGAGAACCCAACACCCCCGAGACGATCACACACAAACAGCAAGGTGGACACAAACCACGACAAGACGAAAGGAGCACATACAAAAGCCCCCCAATCTCCTAATCTCCAGGGTCCCTTCCTCTGCTGCAAACCTCAACCCAAAGAGCGAACATGCAGAATACGCGCTTCAGAGGGTTGGCGACTTTTCTTCGCCTCGCTTTGATTGTGGGCATCGTCACAACCTTCTCCTTCATCGACACAGCAACTGCGGTATGCCCAAGCCGCGAATACCCACTTGTGAAAATGCGTGCGTGAGTGAGTGTGCATGTAAGTGTGCGTGCGTGCGTGCGTGCGTGTGTGTGTGTGTGTGTGTGTGTGTGTGTGTGTGTGTGTGTGTGTGTGTGTGTGTGTGTGTGTGTGTGTGCGTATGTATGTGCGTATGTAAGTGTGTGTGTGTGTGTGTGTGGATGTAAGTGTGTGTGAGTGAGTGTGACTGAGTGAGTGTGTGTGACTGAGTGGTGCGTGCGTGAGTGAGTGTGAGTGTGTTCTTGGCACTTCTACGTGAATTCGCCCATCCAGGTTCTTGTTTCCTTACATCCCCTCCCGCACATACTCTCGTGATATTACGGCAGACTTTGGTGCTTGGCAATGAAATCCCAGCTTCGCAGTTCCTGAACGACGTGGTAATTCTAATGCAAGTGTACGCTTTCTCTCCACTCGCTTGCTTGAAGCCAGTGCTGCGTGCAGTGGCGGTGACATGTCTGTTCTTGTGCCTGTCTTCTAACAAGGAAGTCGATGAATGTGATGGTCAAAGCATGACTCTGCGTAGTGTGCCATGGCATGTGCGCTCTCTCACAACCCCCCCTTTTTTTCCTGTGCGTTTCTTCCTGAATGCAATGCCCTCCCCTCCCCTCCCGCCATTTGCAGGTGGGCAACAGATGTGTGCAATTGAGCCCATCCAACACTGGATACTACTTTGATGGCGGCTTTGGCACCGGCGTGACTCGCACGCGCTGTCCCAAAGGTAAACCGCACACGACATGAGTATTGCTATTGCTGCTTGCCTGCACATGTTTGGTCATCTCTGGGCGGTGTAGTGCAAGCATTTCCACGATATAGCCACACCCCATTTGCCACGGGATCTTCCCCTGCTTCTTCTCCTATAGTACACACATATGCACATACATACACGCACACGCACGCACGCACGCACGCACTCTCCCTCACTTGTCCTCTCCTCCACTGCCAGGTGGCATGTGCCAGTGCCGTCAATTTGATGAGTGCCAAAATGGAGGTGTGTGTGTGTCCTGTGCTCGCCTGATGCATATAACTGCTGCTGGACGGGTCTTTGCTTGATGCCCGTGTGTCTCATCTGGTGTCCAACGTCATCCATACGTTCCAGCAGACTGCGTCCGGGTGTTTGCGTGCAACGACACTGAATCAACAGGGTGTACCGCCGTTTCAAACTGCACCCAGACCGTCTTTGAGACCACATTCGAGGTGCGATTGTCATGGGCAGTCCTGCTGTGTTGCTTCACAAGGCCTCACCTTGCGTACGTTAGTTGGTGTGGGACAAGTCATAACCCTTTCCCTCCCAATGTCTCACCACCATTCCGTGATTGTGTGCCCTGTGTCCCATTCCATCTCCTCAGGTTGTCGTCGACTGCCGCGACCCGCTTGATGAGCGCGATGAGGCCGGTATCGACTTCTTCGGCATGCGCTGGAAGCAGGCCCTTGCTGAGGACTGCAGCATTGGACGCGTTAGTCGCTCACGCACCTGTGTCTACGTTGTGTGATTGTGTTGAGTTTGTGTGTGTGTGTGTGTGTGTGTGTGTGTGTGTGCTTTGGTGTGTGCAGGTGTTTTCCATATCAATACTGATCGCTCGCTTGATCCTTACCACCTTTGTTTGCGTCCTCCCTTCATTGTCATTGCCTCACACACTCATCCCCCTTTGCGCCTCTTTCATATCCACAGGTGTGCCGCTACAATGGCGACACAGCAGCCACGATTGAGGTCATCAACGGCACCACCTTCCGCACCACCACCCTCAACCCAGCGCACGTGGACCACCTCATCGACTGCGCACAGACGCAAACCTTCAAGTTCAACCGCTGTGAAGTCCTGAGCGTGCGCTTGATCCCAGACACAACAACTACCACAACGACAACAACGACAACAACAACAACGACTACTACCACCACCACGACAACGACGACTACCCCCACAACTACAACGACAACGACAACAACCACCACAACTACCACGACAACCACCCTCCCACCCTGCTCCTACAACTGTGAGGACGAGTTTGACAACTGCGTCGGCGTGGTAAGACAGCCAACAGTGTGACGCGACGTTGCTTGCGTGTCTACCTATGTGTGCGGGTATGCATGTTTTTTGGTTTTTTTTTCTGCTGGCGTAGCCTGGCTTGCTCGCCTGCATACATCTATGATCCATCGACCTCGAACCACAGCACTCATTTGGCGCGTCGCTCACTCCACCTGCTCCCCTACCACGCCCACTTTTGACGTCAACAGGCCATGTTCAGCGCCAACGTGCGCGACACCTTCACGGACTGCGTTGCGGCCACGGATCACTACAGCATCTCAAACCTGATTGACTTTGGCATCTGCGTTGGCGAGTGCGACGAAATCTCAAGCTCAAGCAACCTCACCCAGATGCAGGCCGTGCTCGAGTGCTAGTGAGTTGGCTGTGGTGCTGCGTGCGCGTGCATTCGCGTTGCTGCTGCCTGATTGTACACAAACCACTTTGTTGTGCCGTGTACACTCGCGTCATCTGCTCGCGTGTGCTTCACCGCGAATCTGCTTTCGGCATCGCCTTTCCACACCATCTTACCCACATATGCATGCACGCAACCAACAGCGTGAACTGCGCCAACGACACGGCGGACATTGGCTGCGAGGTGACCACCACCACTACGACAACCACGACCACAACCACCCTTCCCTACGACTTGCTGGATGAAGTCAGCGACTACGCCACATTTGTCTCCAACCAGGTGTGCAACTCTCGCTGCAATTGCGTCCAGGCAAACGTGTTACGGTGCATTGCAGTCTATGTGTGTGTGTGTGCGCGCGTGATGTGCATTCGTGCTCTGTTGTGTGTGTTGCTTATTTCTACATTTGTTCCTACTCACTACTCACAATCACACACTCACACCCGTCATGTACCCCCCTTCATTCCCCGCCCCACCTCACCTTATCCATGTTTAGACACGCGCTGGCTGCACGCGTTCCGTGTTGTCGACCAACGGCTACTACCTCCTCTCTGGCGCAGCCGCTGGCGTGCAGCAAGCTGAGTGTGACCGCGGTGGCGGCTGCAGCTGCTTCCACTTTGAGGAATGCAACGACCCCGAGGGTGAGTGCCAAGTTGCCTTCCTGTTGCTTCAAATGGTTCTGCTTGACACTCTTCTGTACTTGCGTACGTGGTGTGCGTTCAAATAACTGCTTGCAAGCAAAGGAACTCGCCCACTAATGTCGTTGCTGCAGTTGCTTTGCTGATCACTCACAAACATGGCTTTCGCATCTACCATGTACACCCTGTTCCGAATGTGTCACAACGCAGGCATGACATGCATGGAGGTGTACGAGTGCGAGACCAAGAGCGGAAGCGCCGACAGCTGCTACACCTTTGACGAGTGCGTGGAGGATGACTTCCACATTGAGGCCATCATGGCAGTGTCGTGCAACGATAGCCAGCTGCTGGAGACCTTCAACAACACCATGCTGGACGACTTTGCTGTCGACCTCAAGGCATCGCTCATCGAGGACTGCAGCGACCTTCCTTTGGTGCGTTTGTGATTGTGATGATGGTGATTGTTGCACTTTTGCGCTGCTGTGTGGCACCGACCCTGGGTTGTCTCAGCGTGCTGGCTTGCTTGGTGCATGGTGTTGCTTTCGCTACATTGAACTGACGTTGTTTTCCCTTGCTTCCTGTTACGTCCACCACCCAACGCACGCGTGTACAGCAATGCCATGTCAAGTCTGATGACTACACGGACATTGAGGTTCTGGACAACAGCACCTTTGTCATCGGCGTCTACAAGCCAAACGTGAGTTGAGCTTGCCTTAATGTGATGTGGGCTGAGATCTTTGTCGTTTGTGGCATGGTATTTGCACTGTACAACCGACTATAGCTCACGCTCACATGCTCACGCACACACACACACACACACACACACACACACACACACACACACTCACACACTCACACACAGGACATTGCCCGCCTTTCGAGCTGCGCAGAGCTGAGCTCCTTCACCTTCCACGGTTGCACCGTCGAGCTGGTGGAGCGATATGATGCGGAGGCGCAGGTCATTGTGACGCAGCGGTTTGTGGTGACGGGCGTCAACGAGTCCCAGGTCAACACCACCGCCATCAAGCAGCGGCTGTTGGCCAAGCTGCCGCAGTTCACAGCCGACCAGATTGAGGTCCGCATTGAGCCCATCAGCCGCCGCGCCACGAACGATGGCTTCATTGTTGTCATCGAGTACACGGCCGATGACGAAGATGCAGAGGACGTGGTCAACACCGCCAACGAGGTGGCAAACAACGGCACCCTCACTGAGGTGATCGAGGAAGACACGGGCGAAATGGTGGACACCATGCAGGAAGGTGATGTCATGATTGACTTGGTCACCACTACCACCACCACCACGACAACAACTACCACTACGACGACCACAACTACTACTACCACAACGACAACGACAACAAGTACGACGACCACCACTTCAACGATTGCAACGACAACAACGACCACCACCACGACAACAGCGACTACCACTACCACTACCACCACCACCACCACAGCTACCACCACCACCACCACAACTACGACTGGCACAACTACCACGACGACTACTCCTACCACAACAACAACAACAACAACAACAACAACAACAATAACAACAACAACAACAACAACAACAACAACAACAACAACAACAACAACAACAACAACAACAACAACAACAACAACAACAACAACAACAACAACAACAACAACAACAACAACAACAACAACAACTACAACTACAACTACAACAACAACAACTACAACTACTACAACAACAACTACAACAACATTTAGTTGGACATTTCCCGGCATCGTGGATGGAGTTCAGCTTGGAACGGCGTATGGCGACAATGTGTACAGTGTAGCGTATGCGTTCGACAGCGTCTTCATTGCGGGGCAGACAGGCGGGACGCTGTTTTCAGACACGCCACCATCTCAGGCTGCGTGCTTCGTCGCCCGTCTTGATGCCGCCGACCTCACAACCACAATCTGGGGTGTGCACTTTGACGGAACCTTGACCGAGTCGTGCAAGAGCGTGGCCGTGGACACACTGGCGGAGCGGGTGTATGTGGCCGGTGAAACGAACAGCGCCCTCTTTGGCCCTACCATTGGCCTGAAAGACGTGTTTATCGTGGCGCTGAATGTCACGGATGGCAGCGAGGTGTGGAGCACGCAGGTTGGCACCGGCAGCTCAGACAGCGTCGCCGACATGGACATCGACGCTGTGACCCACAAGGTCGTCGTGACGGGGTACACACTCGGCGTCTATGGCGATTCGAGCGCGGGCACCAGCGACGCATTCGTGGCTGCATACGATGGTGATGACGGCACCGAGCTCTGGGTCACCCAGTTTGGGACCAGCCAATGGGACGAGGGTACGGCTGTCACCGTCGACGACGTCCGCGGCCTCGTGATTGCCGGCGGCTACACCCCCGCCGACCTGTTTGACACCTCGGTGGGGAACGATGACGCGTTCTTGGTTGCTTTGGATATTGCTGACGGCACAACAGCGTGGAGCAGGCAGTTTGGCACAGATGCCGACGACATCATCACCAGTCTCACCATTGACGTCGTGTTTGGCAGCGTGTTCTTCAGTGCACGATCTGCTGGCGACCTCTATGCCATGGGACAAGGCAACCACGATGTGGTTGTGGGCGCGGTTGCGACAACGACTGGCACCGAGCAGTGGGGGGTGCAGTTTGGAACAGACAGCTACGACCGACCCGATGACATTACCTACGGTGCGACGGCAGATGTTGTCGCAGTGGGCGGGCGAGTGTCTGGCGATGCGTTTGGCAGCGGCTCCTATGGATCGAGCGACGGTTTTGTGGCGTACCTGAGCGCCGATAACGGCGACGTGCTTGACAGTCTGCAGTTTGGTACGACGCAGCCAGACGGCGTGTATGGGGTGGCGTTTATCACGGACACGAACAGGAGTGTCATTGTTGGCACATCGGATGGAGGGGATTTGTTTGACAGGGCGAGCGGAGAGACTGACATTTTCATTGCGCTGAACGAGTACAGCCTGAACCCCACCACCACGACCTCGACAACGACGACAACGACAACATCCACCGCAGCACCCACAGCCGACACGACGAGCATTGTGTTGAGCTCCAGTGACTTCCTCACCGCAGTCCTTGCCGGTAACGGCCTCATCTACAGCGTGTCGCTGACGAAGGGAAACGTGCTCATCCTGGATGCGACCACAGACACGGCTGACGAGACCACCATCACTGGGCTTCCAAGGAATGCTCCCTGGGCGGATTGCGCACTTGCCGACAGCGGCATCATCTACTGCGTCCCGTTCGCCTCGGACGCTGTGTTGATGATTGACCCTTCCACCAACACGTACGACAACACCACCATCACCGGGGTGGGGTCAGAGGCCGGCAACTACTTTGGCACCGTGCTTGCTGATAACGGGCTCATTGTGGGCTGTCCAGCAAGCGCCGACGCTGTGCTCTTTGTCGACCCCTCAACCAACACGTTCGACACCACCAGCGTCACGGGTTTGACCACGGCAACAGACAAGTGGTTTGACGGAGTGAAAGCCAACGACGGGCTCATCTACTGTATCCCAGCCAGTGCAGAGTATATCCTCATTGTGGATGCGAGCACGAGAACCGCCGACACAACCTCCATCACCGTGCCCAGTGACCCCTTGACCTGGAAATGGGGCCAAGGGGTCGTGGGTACCGACGGCCTCATCTATGCCATGCCACACGGCCACGAGAGTGTGCTGATCATCGACCCAGTCGCCAAGACAGCAGACACTACTTCGTTGGCAGGCCTCGGCGGTGACAGTGCGTGGTTTGGTGCCGTTGTTGCAAGCAGTGGCCGCATCTTTGGACTTCCTTACAACTCTGAGAGCGTGCTCATCATCGACGTGCCAGCATCTCAGCCCGGGGAGGCACCCGCTGTCGTGCAAGTGTCATCAACAGCGTCACAGTTGCCATCCTCTGCCTCAACACCATCGGCTGCTACCACGGCCACTCCGGCACCACTGACAGAGGACAAGTTTGGTGCCAGCTTCGATGCCGTTGTGGTCGACTCCTCATCCACCAGCACAACAACCACAACTACCACAACCACAACCACAACTACCACAACAACCACGACCACAACAACCACGACCACAACAACCACGACCACAACAACAACAACCACGACCACAACAACCACGACCACAACAACCACGACCACAACAACAACAACTACAACTACAACTACAGCCACCACGACCGACACGACAACGCTCACAGGATTTGGCACTCAGACGGAGAAGTGGGGTGGAGGTGTGTTGGCTGCCAACGGCAACATCTACGGCATGCCATACAGGTACACCGAAAACGCAGTTCTCATCATCTCCCCCTAGGGTGTGTGTGTGTGTGTGTGTGTGTGTGTGTGTGTGTGTGTGTGTGTGTGTGTGTGTGTGTGTGTGTGTGTGTGCGTGTGTGTGTGTGTGTGTGTGTGTTTCAGGGCTTGGTTTGCGGGGTTCGGTGTGAATGATTGATTGTGTCGTGTTGTGTCGTGTCACAAGTCGCAATACCCTTTCGCAATTGCTCTGGTCATCCAGGCAAGTAAACATGAAACACTTCACGCAAACAGAATGGCCTTTGCGCAGTGAAGCGGGTGTCAAACACGTGGCTGCTCATTTAATGTACCCACGATGGGTGACAGTGGCTCAGATAATCTACACTCACGTTATCACTAACGGTGTGACAATGTCTACGATTTAAGCATGTTGCGCGTGTGTCCCCCAAGTCGGTTCAGCTTCAGCTCGTTGAAGCTTGGGCGCTGTGCCGGGTCGTGTGCCATGCAGTCCAGTGTCAATGTCTCGAACCACTCTGGGATGCCTGCATTGTTGCGTGTGTGCATGTGTGAATGTGTCCACGTGTGCATGTGTGCACGTGTCCACGTGCGCATTGTGCATGTGAGGTTGGTTGGTGTGATTAATAGTGATTTGTACAAGGTTATGAGAGAAGAGCATGATCGGTAAGAGATCAAAGTGAGGTGAAAAGTGGCGGCAATGCAACACAACAGCCACATGAACTGCAGCGTGAACAACGCACGTGCACAAGCCATGTACATATGTGTGGAAACGTCTGAACAACAAACAAACACACACGCACACACGCACACACACATGGGACTCACCATCTGTGTCATGAAACTTGAGGCGCTTGCCCTCAGTCAGGAGCTCCGTGATTGCAGGAAGCAGAGGCCCCCTAAAGTCGCCCCCCTTCTCTTGCTCAATCAGATCCGGTGGTCGCTGTGTCGCCACCTCCCACATCAACACGCCAAAGCTGAACACGTCTGCGCCGAAGCTGTACTTGTCACCCATCAATGCCTCTGGCGCCATGTACAGCGGCGTGCCCACGCCAGCCGTCAGCGTCATGCTGGCCATTGTCTGCAGTCCAGTGCGCTGGCTGTATTGCGGATCATCGTCAGCTTGGCTGGACGACAGGCGAGTGTGGCTGCTGCCGTGGGCTCTGCCACCTCCACCACGTGTAAAGCACTGGCGAATGGACCCGAAATCCGTGATTTTGGCGCGAAGCGACGATGACACCAGCACGTTGCCGCTCTTCAGGTCTCTGTGGGTGTGAATGAGTGTGGAAGTGGTGGTGGGTTGAGGGTAGGATGGTGCAGTGGGCAAGAGTGCGTACCTGCATGCAAACATAGAAACGCAGCTTCAAACGCACATACACAAACACACACAAACGCACACACACACACACGCAAACACACACGCATACACACACTCACCGATGCATCTGGTCCAGACTGTGGATAAAAGCCATGCCACTCGCAATGTCACGCAGCAAGCGCAGCTTCAACTCCCACACACTGTTCACATCATCCCTGACACCACCACTGCTGCTGTTGCTCTCCTCAACCTTCCTGTTCCTCACCTCCCTCAACACCTGTTCCATATCTTTCCCCAGCAGATCCTTGAGTGACCCCATTGCCACAAACTCCAGCACCAGGAACGGGCTGCCGCTGGGGTTTGTGCCCGCCCCAAAGAATCGCACCACATTCGGGTGCCGTGTCCGTTGCAGGAACTCCACCTCCTTCTCAAACTCAAGCACCGTGCTCTCGTCAAACGCCATGACGGCTTGCTGCAGCACTTTCACTGCCACCATCACCGTGTCCCACTCTGCCTCAAACACCACGCCAAACGCACCCGCTGCAACACGCTTGGTCATCCTCAGCTCATCGTACTCAATCTCCCACGCCTTCTTCAGCGCCATCACCTCCTCATCCCTCTCCACCAGCAGCTGCTCCTGCAGGTCAATGCGCTTGGTCAGGCCACGGTAGCGGCGTGACAGCCACGCCACAAACAGGCCAAAGAACAACCCGCCAATCACAGAGCCAACGGCAATGCCGGCAATGTCTGGGTTGTCCACCACGCACCGCCCGCCTGACGTCAGCTTGAAACCGCGTGCGCACGTGCAGTGGAAGGTGTACACAGTTTCGGTGACGAAGGTTGCAATGCCAAGAGGAAGCCGGAGGTCTTCATTGCCAAGTTGCAGGTTACACTGCACGGGCGTGCCCGCGACTTGCAGCAGAGGTGGCGCTGCTCGGGAGCGGATGATGACGAGATCAGCTGTGAGCCGCGGCTGCGATGAGAGGGCGACGGGGCGGCTCGTGAGTCGCGAGAGCTCCCCAGGCAAATCCAGCCAGGAGTTGCGAGAGAGGTCAAGAACGTCCAAGCGCTCCAAACAGCGCCGCAGCGTCACGCTGACCTCGAGCGTGCGAAACTTGGCTGGATTCATGTCCCGCGCAAACAGGATGCGGCGTCCCAACGTGTCGCAGACGGCTTGGCTCGGCCCAAGCAAGGTCTGCGACACATCAAGCACGTCCACAAACGGCACATCGATGCGATCCAGGGCATGGCACCCAGACACGTTCAGCGTCCTCACACCCGTAGGCACTTCAACCGTCCTGAGCGCGGTGTTGTCCTGGAGAAAGACGGCATGATAGGTTTTGTTATCGCAAAGGCTCACGGTCTTGTACATGGTTGTCGTGAGCGAAATGTCCTGAACACTGTCGGCGAGGAGGCGACAGATGTGCGACAGCGGGACGGAGTCCTCGTTCATCCCAGGCCAACCGAGGTGCAGTCGATTGAGGGACAGTGGGGGCAAGGCCTGGCGGAACAGGGCGCGGGTGTCAATGTGGGAGAGGTGCAGCGTGTGCAGCTGTGTTGGCGGTGGGCGCGACGCCAGTTGGGCCGTGTCCACGAGCGCAACAGACTTGGCATCGGGCGACGCATCGAGCTGGACGATTTGCAATGAGGCCGAGGCGAGGACGGGCGTGAGGTCCAGCCGCTGAATGTGGTGGTTGAGCAGTCGCAACTCCTGCAGCACGTGCATGCCCGCCAGGTCTGGCAGGGAGGCGAGCGGATTGTTGCGGAGGGTAATTGCTGACAGGCGTGAGAGCGGCGCGTTCACCTCGAAGCGCGAGAGCTGGTTGTGGTCCAGATCAACGCGCACGAGGGTGGGCGTGGTCTGTTCAAACACGCCATCAATGGACCGCAGCCTGTTGTTTGCCAGGTACACGAGTTGCAGCGAGGGGGTGCTGCGGAACACACCGGGAGGCAGCAACGCAAGCTTGTTGCCTTGAGCATGGATCACGCGCAGGGCGGTGCAATTGTCAAACAACCCACGCGGGAGCGTGGTCAGCTGGTTGTGGGAGACGGTGAGGAAGTCCAGCGCGGTCAGGTGTCGAAAGAGGCCGTCCTGAAGCGCGGTGAGTCGGTTGCCATCGAGAAAGAGGTCACGCAGCTGCGACATGCCTGCAAGCAGATCTTCCGGCAGCGAGGTGAGGAAGTTGCGGAAGAGGTAGAGGATCCTCAGGCGCGTGTTGTGAGCAAACAGGTGTGGTGGGACGCTTTGCAAGAGCATGTTGTCGAGGTTCAGCTCTTGCAGGGCCGTTTGGGAACTGAACGTCGCTGGACGTAGGCTGTGGATGGGGTTGCCGCCGAGATTGAGGCGCCGCAGCCGCGAGAGTGGGTGGAAGAGGCCGTCTGGAATGGCTGACATGGCGTTGAAGCTGAGCGTGAGCATGGTAAGCTGCGTTGTGGTGTTAAAGGCGCTCGGCTCAATGCTGCTGACCAAGTTGAAGTCGAGCAGCAGCTGCCGGACGCTGGACAGGGGCGCGAGGATGGCTGCGCTCACGGTTCGGATGCGGTTCTGCCGCAAGTCCAGTACGCGTAGCGCGGTCATGCCGGCAAACGCGTGCTCAGGCAGTGCGAGCAGGGAGTTGTTGCGCAAGCTGAGCGTGGAGAGCTGGTGCGCACGGGTGAAGGCGCGCGTTGAGATGGAGAGGTGGGCGTGGTGCCGGATGCGCACGTCGGAGATGCCCTGCAAGCTGTTGAGAAGGTGAAACTGGAACTCGGGGGCCTGCAGGCCTTCCAGGGTGATGCTGCTGAGGGCACTCCAATCGACGTTGTGGAGGAGCCACTGGAGCGGCTGGTCATGAATGATGCCACGCAGCGTCAGTTCATGCACGTCAGCGGAGAAGGAGTCGAGCAGGGCGCGCCCTGAGGCGGTGGCGTTTTCGTTGTGGTCGATCGCAGTTTCCCCTTCAAAGGTGATGGTGAGGGTGTGGTTGTTCAAGGGCCCCGGACACGTGCTGTCAAACAGGCTGGCGAGCGTGCAAAAGCCTTCCGAGAGCTGGCGCGAGAGGAGCAGTGGGGTGTCACGCCGAACCCGACGAGTGTTTGTAGCGCGGCTGGTGGGTCGATGCGATTCCCAGGCACGTGTTGTGAGCTGTTGTCCCACAGTGGTGGTTTTGCTGAGGCTTCCTCCATTCTGATCATGCTGGTGGTGCTGTTGAGAGTGGTTGCCGGCTCTCGTTGTCGTTGGGTTGGTGTGAGAAACGCTACAGTTGACGCAGCAGCCGAACAACTGTGCCATGGTTCTGATCGGAGACAGATCAAGCGGCTGCGGGTCCCACAGATGCCTTGCCCCTGCTCTTCTCTGTGGTACACTGAGGCCATGATCAAAGTGGACGATTTGTTGCTGTTGTTGCCGTTGCTGGTTGTGATGCTGCTCATGATGATGCTGCTCATGATGATGATGATGATGATGATGATGATCGGTTCTCCTGCTTCTGTTTCTTGTTCTTGCTGAGCTTTCCTCCTCTTGGTCCTCTTGGAGCCTCAATGCGAGCCGCTCTAACACGTCGTCCACCTGTCTGCATAACAGCTGCTTGTTGTGTTCTTCATCACCCTGCGGATGTGCGTGTGAGTGAGTGTTGGCGTGAGAAAGCTGAGGAAGAGGGCTGTGCAAGACGGAGGAGGAACGAAAACGTTGGCGCTTGAGAGCAGACGACAGTCGGGGTGAATCAAGAGTGTGGCACGGGGTGAAGAAGGAGGAAGCCACGGGGTTAGGCGAGAAGAAGATAAAGGCAGAAAGGCGACGACAGAGCACAGGTCGCACACACACACACACAGACACACACACACACACACACGCACACAGAACAACAGACACACACGCACACACACACGACACACACACGACACACACACGAGACACACACACACAGACACACACACACACACACACACACACACACACACACACACACACACACACAGACAAACAGACAGACAGACACACACACACACACAGACACACACACACACAGACAGACAGACACACACACAGACACACACACACACACACACAGACACACACACACACACCGTGCTTTGGTGTGCGATGGTGGCAGCATGCACACTGCTGCGCTTGCTCTGTGCACCCCACACATGCACAACAGCAGACACCACGATCATCAGCAACAGCCACCAGCACTGCCTCATCTTCGATGTGTGGTTCTGTATGTCGCTGTCGTTCAAGACAATTATTGAATAACTTCTTGAAAAAATCGAAAGCACACAAACCAAAGGCAAACTTTCGCTCTGTGTTTGGTTTGCGGACAGTGAGGTCTGGTGAGGTGGAACTGACAGCCACGTAAGCGCAGTGGCAGAGCAGGGGCGCCAGCCTTGTTGTCTTTCTCTCTGCTCTTTCTCTCCTTCTTCTCTCTGCTCTCCGTGTCAGCTCCACGAACAGGTTTGACCTCCAAGAAGCCTTTTCGTCTCTCTGCAGCTGTTTTCTCTCCCCCCACCTTTCTCTTTCTCATTTTCTGCCTTTTTCTTCTCTCTTCACGCTTCCGTATTGCTTACCGCGCCGCACGGACGCGCCAACAGCCTCAGCAACCCACCCCTTGTAGCCTTGTCTTCCTGTCTTCAAGTCTCCAAACTCACAAGAGGCTGAGGGATCGCCCCATCACCATCAGCCTCTCTCTCATCATGGGTCGAAAGAACAGACGTCGCAAGAAGCCATCGAGCGACAACAAGAAGAAGTCCCAGCATGCTGATGGCAGCAGCAGCACCACCACCAGCAGTGTCAACACAATCACAACAGCAGCCAGCTCAAGTCAGTCAAGTGCCCAGCAGCAGCAGCAACCACAGCTGCCAGAACAGGGGCTTGAAGCACCCGCTTCACGAGGGCTGATTGGCTTGCTGCAAGACATCATGGGCTTGGCTACAAACCCGATTCAACGGCAGCTCCTTCACCGCCTTCAGTCAAACTGCCCGAGA